TGCCACTGCCCTGGTCTTTATTTTATACATCAGTGGGTGCATTTGTTCTTTACATTGGAATGTGGATGTGTATACGTGTGTGTGTGTGTGGGGGGGGGGACTTCCCTAAACCTGCTGGTCTGGAAGTCCAGCAGTTCATCTAAACAAAAGGCACTTAGACTAAAACTGGCATAGCTACGTTTATCCTACCATGAAACAATAGGAGAAGATACAACCTCTCCCATGTTCCCAGGATGTGGGTGTGAATGCCAGAACACTCTGGAATGCACACAAAGTCTTGTAGTGAACAACAGCCTAAGTCATCAAAAGGTCAACATGCAGTATTCTACCATTTGCAAACTTATATCATTAAAAGATTATACTGACTACTAAGTACAATTTTCTATTGACATTCGGTGAAAACCTGACAACAAGCACTTGAAAGACAAACAGAATTTGACATCCAAACAATTGAACATGTGAATCCAGCGAAACCTCCTCAGGATCCAGCAGCCTGCAGTAGTATCAGAGCTAACATGACCATTGTTGATGTGGTCAATGATGAAGATGAAATTATAAAACAAACTTGATCACAACAATAACAACAAATATTCCCTATCACATAATATCTGACATAAAATTGTGATATATAAATATAGTAAATGTAGTAAAGAAAAGCAAACTTGCAAAGTAAACATTTTACTTTCTTTCACTTTATAACATTTTGTGATATAAATATGAGGCCAATAAATGTATAGAACATTCAAGGTTAGTTAAAAAATAATATGAAGAGAATTCTGACCATCAGCGTCACAAAGTGACATCTGCAGTGTTTCGTGTGCAGCTCTGTGGCTTCCTGTTTCACTGTGGCGTTCGAGCACAATAATAAATGGCAGAATCTTCAGTTGTCAAGCTGCTCATGTGCAGATACACTTGATCCACATTGTTGTCTCTAGAAATGGTGAAGCGATTCTGGGCAGATGTGGAATAGCTTTTAGTGCTCCCACCCGGAGCAGAAATGTAAGCAACCCACTGCAGCCCTTTTCCTTCAGCCTGTCTGATCCAGCTGATAGCAGCATCACCATCTGATATTCCTGCATATGTACAAGTCAGTTTATGAGAATCTCCAGGGTGTTTTTTTATCACTGGTTCAGACTCAGTAAGCGTCTGACTGCATGAATGCAGAGCTGTGGTAGTTACCAGGAATCACTGATAGCATTGAAGCATTATAGATGTAGATAAAAACATATTGAAAAGTTGTTGTCTGTCTCATTTACTCGTCTTCACTTTGTTGTGAACTAATTAAAGATTGGCAGATCAATATTTGCATGAACTCCTCCTTAAAGTGTCAAAAACAAGTAACACATTAAAATGCATTTAAATGAAACCTGTTGATAAGAGGTTAGACCTACCTACTAAGAGTGTGGTTTTGTTGATTGTAAATGTCAAAATAAAGTAAAAGCTTAATATTTGTAGGGTCTGGTTGATTTAAAAATTTGAGACATGTCCAATAGAACAAAGAACAATAATAAATGAAAGAATCTTCTTTTTCCAAGCTGTTAATATGCAGATGCTCCTGATCCTGAGTGTTGTCTCTGGAAATGGTGAAAAATGTGGAATAATATGTATTGCTTCCACTCGGACCAGAAATGTAGACAACCCACTCTGCCTTTAGCTTATTGGAGCTTATGGCTTTAGCTACCCACACCAATTCTCTGAACTTCGTGAGTTCATTTATAAAACAAGCTTTATATGTATTTATTTTTTTCTTATTATTTTTCAAGATTTTATATTAAATGAGAGTTGGAATTAATATTTTTCTTTTGTGCTAAATTTATGCAGTTTCACTGTCTTCGCTGATCAAATTTCCTGCAACTGGCTGTGAGTGAAATGAGCTGAAGGCACAAGGTAACTTACTTCTTTCAAAACAGTTTGGCAGCTGCAAGTGAACAAATTTGGGATTTTTTTTTACGGTTTAATGTTTCTATCTAGGGGCTTAAATTTAGGACTGTTACGTTTCATATACAATGTCAGCAGTCACAAAGGTGATGTCTTACAAGTCCAGCTAGTTCTATACGATTTAATGACCACACCATTAGACAATTGTATTTTTACTCATTTGTTTCATGGATAACTCCATCAGTATTTAGCTCACTAGGCTGAAATGGTTCAGTGGTCCTCACACACACAGTTTTTGCATGGCCTTTCAGTCTCTTATTTCACTGTGGCTCTCGTGCACAGTAATAAACTGCAGAGTCTTCCTGTTTGAGGCTGTTCACCACTAAATTCACACTTTTTTGGGAAGTGTCTTTGGTGATGGAAAACTGGCCTTGAAGACTTTGGGCAAATATTGTGCCGGTCCCATCATCAATGCGTCCGATCCATTCTAGTCCTTTCCCAGGTTTTTGACGAATCCAGTGCAACCAAGACAGAGCGATTCCTTGAACTCTACAGGACAGAGTGACTGATTGTCCTGGTCTGCTGACCACTGGCTCTGACGAGGTGAGAGACTGACAGCAAGCAGCTGAAAGAAATAGAGAGTTTATATGATGGGAAGGAGCTGAGATCCAAATATTCCCTTCCTATCTTGTCTCTTCCTAACAGACTTCACTCACCTGAGATGAGAGTCAAAAGGAGCAGACTCTGTACAATGGTCATGGTCATAACCTGGTTGAGACTTCAACTGTAAATGCTGATACGAATGAGAGATTTTTATGCTGTGTAGGCAGAGTGGGTGGGTATTTAGGTCAGTTTGAATTTGCCTGTTTGTGTATCTGACATGCAGTTAAAGAAAGAGAGACGAAACAAGTTAACATTTTGTTGCAACACTACATATAAATACATATGCAAAATATATTTGCATTGTCAATTTGTGATTTTTCTTAGTGTGTTTAATATTTTTTTATGTGTGTTAGTTATTTGGAAGTAAGTATACTAGAATGTTTTGTCAGCTCTCTAATATACAGTAGTGTAAGCTATACTATCACAGTAATGAAATGTCACAGATAAGGAGGTCGACAGTCAAATGATGCTCAGGTTTTCAAGCACCAGAACAAACTACAACAAAAATGATTGCACGGTCACTGTTGAACTACCTGTTGAAAACCTTTTTGTCGTTTCTTTGGATACTGGCAGAGGTGAGGAACTTGTCATTATGTGCCCTCTAGTGTTCAACATTGTTTTTCAGTACAACCCCCTCCCCAGTCCCCTTCCACTGTCTTATTTTTGCTATTTGTACCCAGACAGTTATTCCAGTGGCGGGCATATCCTTTATGAACAGTGGAGGTTGCAGGTTTTAAGTAATTATTAGAGTTAATATGTCGAGTTCTTTTGTTCATACAACAGGCTCATACAAACTCACAATTCATAACACATCTTTATTTAACTCATTCTTCTTTTTGCTTACTTCTGTAAATAAAACAATTCATTTACTCTATGTTCTGTTTTGTCTGTTTGTTTCATACTGCATCAGCCAAAATCTACATCCTAGTTATAAAAGCAAACCTATATAGTGAATGTGGTTTAATATAAGTGTGCTAGTTGTTAAGCTGTACTGATAGTTTGAATCATTTTGGTATTGAATAGTACAGTAAAGAATCATCTGTGTATTTGGGTGAGACAGATTTATGATACATTGTGACTTCTCTGTGGAAGATGAAGTAGAAACACATTTGTTAATTCATGTTCATATTCAAATTTACATTATCCATGTCTTTTTGCACATCTCTTGGTGGCTTGGACTACTGTATCCCTAACATGTAAACAATTATAAGAGACGGTTTCAGTTCAATTCAGTTCAATTTTATTAATCTAGTTTCAAATCTAATGGGATCCTCCAGGCCTTTTAACCACTGGTTCAGACTGTTTTGTAGTCTGACTATCATCATCTGTCAGGTTAAAAATAATAAAAGAAAGTGATCTTCTTTTATAATATAATAAGAGTCATTATAAGTGAAAAAAAGCAGCAGTCCTGCCCTGTAGTCCATACTGTTAAACTGTGAGTCCACTGCTCTCTGTCATCGTCTCTGCTGTCAGATAAGTAGACATTAACCCCTCCTCACTGGAATGACTCAATTGGAATTAATTTGGGCATCATTTGGTCAACATGTGTTAAATTTAGACATACTTAAACCACATTTAGCATGTCTCTAATATAACTCAAAGTGCTTTTAGTGCACTCAAATTAATATTTTACTTTTTTTTAAGTCTTTGTAACATTTTCTAATTTATATAATTTGAAACATTTCCATATTTCATGAAACATTTACTTTGAAATTCAAGTCTTTTTGGGGTTTTTTTTCAATTTCATTAGAAAGATATTGAAATTAGATATAAAAAGAAAAATGTTCTTTATTATAGGGACAAACAAAAATACATCCTATGAGGTTTTCAATAAGATGGAAGACAGTATTGTTCTGGAGACTTTACTACTGGAATGAAGAATCCATGAATCTGCCCTGGACTGACTGTGGGTAACAGATACTACATTAAAACCAGATGTTATATGGATGACTCTGCTATGATCTGACAATCAACACACCTTGGAACAATGACAGCAACCACCAGAGTGTAAGCCATGTTAACAGTATCCCTGGTAGGTATTCCATCCATACATCAATGAAAGAATCCATAATGACACAAAGTGATGACCACTGATACACACTTTGGTCACCTGAAATGAGGGCCAAAGTTGCATGCTCTGTTCAGTGTTGTTGTACTTGGCTGAGACTTCAGCTGTGAAGCCTGAAATGTATGATAGGTATAGGGGTAGAATAGATGTTTGAGTGTGCTTATTTATGAGTCTGAGGTGCAGCTTGAGAAGGACACAACCTGTGGTTTACAAAATACTGAGACATGTTGCAACTACACAATCAATAACACTATTCATTTCTGAAAGTCTTTCAACATGTGAATTTGTTAATAAGTGGGAGTAAGAATACATCACACACAGCTGTGTGTTAAATTTAATCAAATGAATATAGTGTGTTAGGGAAGAAGTGAGCAGTGACTGTTAATTCATGTCATTTTTTCATGTCGTTGTTGATATTCAAGTTTACACCATGCATGTCTTGCAGGTTTCTGAGTATTTGTGCAGGTCTCTTGGTGTTCTGGATCACTGTGTCACTAACACGCACACAGTAATAAACAGCTGTGTCCTCGGTCTGCAGATTCTGTCCTGTTATTGTTGCTGTTCTGGCAGAAGTGTCTCTGCTGTAGCTGAACTTGTTCTTTAAATCACCATTTTGCCGAAGGGTGCCTCCACCCCACTGATGAGAAATCCAGTCCATTGCTTTTCCTTCACGCTGTCTGATCCAACCTGTTGCATAGCTGTTATCAGTCATAGAATAACCAGAAACCTGGCAGGTGATGGAAAAAGACTGTCCAGGCTGCACAGACCTTGAGTCTGGCTGAATGAGATCAATACTGTACACACCTGTGGAAACAGAAATTAACATTACATCCATCATTCATCTGACAATGAAGTATTTCTAATATATTTATATGAGGGAATTTACTAAAAGCTCCTCACATGATCCAGCAGCCAGCAGCAGTATCACAGCTAACATGACTGATGCTAAAGAGGAAATCTTTAAGCTGATCTGTCTTTTCACTGACAGGCAGACATCACTCTGCGACATCACTCCCTTTTAAGTAACTATTATTTGCATATTCTTGAATATATTATGTTTTGATCCATTTAAGGTGTCAACAGTATATAGACAATTTGTTTTAAATGTAATGTATTGTTATAATTCTTTTTTCAATTGAGTGAATCTGTTATGTCTAGAACATACAGCCCCGGACTGACAGATGTCACTGAATCAGAATCAGAATCAGAATCAGAATCAGAATCAGAATGGGGTTTATTGCCAGATGTTGAGGTTTACAACATTAGGAAATTGCTGCGGTGCTTCAGTGCAAACAATAAGAATTAAAGTGCTATGTAGAAAGAAAGATATGTGCATGAGATATACATGAGAGATATACATGAGAATAAGAATTATGAGTGCTACGTAGAAAGATATATACATGAGTGCAGGTGGTGATCGGTGCCACTGACTTTGGTTCTTAGCTGTTTCTAACTTTCTTTAGATCGTGGCATGATGTGTTGCTTTTTAAAATTTTTTGTAGCCTAATGCACTTTGTCATACAGGTCATTTTTAAATAATTTTAAGAAATTGAACTCATTATCCAAAAAAATGTGGTTATTCTCAATTAGTAAAAGGCTTTTCATTGCATGCTCTCTATTGTTGAACACACTCTGTGTGTTCAACACACACTCCAAAGGCTTAGCCCTTAAATTTGTACATGTGGTTTTTTTCTGCTACAAAACAATGATCTTAATGAGGAGTTGTTTTTTGTAAAGCTTGCCTTGTGTGTGATGTTAGTAGAGCCAGCTTTTTTATGTTTTAGTGCATACTTCTATTGGTAATAATGATCACTGATCAATGACCAAAAAGAACCTATGAATAAACATTTTTCTTCCTCTCTTCCTCCCAGCAAAAAGATTCCCAAGATAAAGATAATTTGTGCATTAGTGATAGTGACAATTTGCAGAATGGGAATCAGAAGGATGTGCACTGGCATTAACGAAAAAGAGTACAGGACGGGATGAGTTGTGTGTTCGTCTCATACCCTATGAGTCCAAAACCTACATTTGTGTTATAAAAACAAACCTATTTAGTGAATATGGTTTAATATCAACTTTATTATCAATTTTATTTGTTCCTTCTATACTAGTAGTTTTGATAAGAGAAGATTCACTGTGATCACAAGCAGCTGAAACAGACACAGAGTTTAGTTGACAGTGAATAAGCAGATATGCAAAGCTCAGTTTCTCTTCCTCACCCTCACCTCCTAAAATGATACACAAGATGAAGACATTTTGCATATTTTTATGGGTGGGTGCAGCTTGCAGCATGGTTAGAGTTTAAGGAAGATGTGACTTGGCATTGGAAGAAGGAGAATACAGGACAGTATGAATTAATGACACAAGGAGTAAGTGAAGGCTAAAGGTTGAGCAAAGGTAAAGAATGAGCATGACAATCAGAGTTTCTCCTTTGTTTTTTCTGTTCTTAAAATAGACAAAATAGCCAAATCGAAAAGTTACGGAACGATGTGTCACTGACTGTCCTCCAATATTCTGATAAGCACTACTTTTTGTTCAGAATACTAAAAGTTGAGGTTTCTGTTTCTGGCAATGCTTTTAACAACAAAATCATACAAGCATTGTCTCTGTGGTATGAGAGAATAGTCTTAAGTTGTATTTTTAACAAACATACATTATGGTGGATTTTGTACAGCCATTCAACCAGCTCCAGTCACTGTGGCTCTCGAGCACAATAATAAACAGCAGTGTCTTCAGTCTTCAGGCTGTTCATCTGCAGATACAGCTGCTCTTTGCTGTTGTCTCTGGAGATGGTAAACCTGCCCTGAACTGACTGAGAGTGATAGATCTCACGACTGTCATATCTGATACTGGCAACCCACTCCAGTCTTTTTCCAGGAGCCTGTCTGATCCAGGCCATCCAGTTGCTGCTGAAATAAATGTTGGAGCCTGTACAGGTCAGTCTGTGGGAATCTGCTGGCCTTTTAACCACTGATTCAGACTGTGTTATAGTCTGACTATCGACACCTGTCGGATTAAAAAAAGAACAAAGAAAAGTGGTCATTTACTATAACAGGAGTAGGATCAAACAATAAAATATTTATATCTGTAAGTGAAAAATCTTCACCTGCCAAGAACACAGTTAAAAGCAGCAGTCCTGCCCTGAAGTCCATATTGTTAAACTGTGAGTCCACTGCTCTCTGTCATCCTTTCTGCTGTCAGATAAGTACACATGAAAGACATTGCTGTTTTGCATTAACTCCTCCTCACTGGAAGAACTCAGTTAGAATTAATCATTTTCTCAACATGTTTAGAGTCCACACAAATTTAAACCACATTATAATGTTTGATTTGAGCCAGAAATTAATTAAATGCAAGTTTAAGCATGTTTTACATTTTGAACCTCATATCATTTCAAACATTTCTACATTTCAGCAAAAATGCTTTTTTGAAATCAAATTAAAATTATTATTTTTTTCCTTCATAGGAAATTTTCTTATAAATAAATAAGAAAATAGGAGAGGTTTTAGTCATTACCATGACAATGAAATTAGCATGACTGTAAGCGCAAGACAGAAAAAATAAAATGCTGTTTATCATACTTAAAATAGTCGTAGTACTTCTTGTGAGATTTGTACTCCTTTGTCACTCTATTCACTGCCTAATTTGCTAATAATGAAGACTTAATTATTCTGGTACAAACAATAAGAGAGGCTGTTACATAC